CCCCAAAACCCCAAAACCCCTCATATTTAATTTATATGCAAATGGGTGTCAAAAGAATTAATATTAAATCATTTAGACTATGTAATAAACTAATTAATAAATTAGTGTATTATTTAATATTAATAAATTTTGGATGACAATAAAAGACTATCCTAATATAAAAAACGTGCTCTACCTTTCAGGATGCTTCTTTGTTTTATTTCTTACTTTTGCGGCTTCTGCGAATGTAGCATCAAAAGCTCTAAAAGAATGTGGATTCAATAATCTTGGCTACTACAGTTTGTCAACTCTATACATGGTATTTGGATTGAGTTCTTTCTTTTCTTCTAAAATAGTAATGAGATTTGGAGAGAGAAAATCAATGATGATCTCTTCGACTTTATATGCTTTATGGATATTTTGCTATGGAATAACTTCGATTGCACTATAAAATGATAACATTAATTAGTATCTTTCCTACAATCTTGTGGCAGGAGTAGTGATCTTCTGCAGTATTTTAATTGGAGTCGCAGCCTCAATTTTATGGGTTGCCTAAGGGAAATATTTATCAGATTGCTCGCTGGTATGCTAAGATAAAAAGGGGAGATATCAAGGTTTATTCTGGACATTCATGTTCATTTCATTCTTTTTGTCCAGCATTATGAGTGCCTTTATACTTGGGTACTTTCCTTAATAGTATCTCTTCTTTTTATGCACTTTTATTGCTTTGATCTCAACTTTAATGCTTTATTCGTTACCAGATATAAAGCAGCTGCCATAAGTTAATAAATCATAATTTAATTAATAGAGAGATAGATTCAAACTAATAAAACTAATGTTTGATAGAAGAATGATTAAGACCTATGGCATCTCTTTATCTACAGCATTATCATTGGCGATTAGACAGGCAGGACTTTATCCATTTGTTTCATCCACTTTACAGGAATATTCAGTTTATGATTAATTCAAGTATGCATCATTTGCTTAGGCTATGTATGGAGTTGGCTAACTTTTTGGAAGTCCAGGATTCGCAATTATTAATGATAAATTTAATGGAGGAAAATCAGTATCTCAAGTAAGTATAGTAATTCATATTCTAGCCTATTCATCTCTGATCATTTACAATGAAATGCATGTATTTGGGACTATTAGCTTTGTATGTACCTTTATTTTGGGTATTTAAGATGCTTTTATGCAAAACTAATTACCTGTTATCATGGGATCAGAATTTAATTCCTCCATAGAGGCTTTCGCGATATATAGATTATTTAATTCAATTGGAATAAGCCTAGGTATGCTTATGACTTCTATGCTTGTAACTATAGGTGATTATAGAGTTTTCTTCGTTATAGTTATGATAATAACTGTTGCAGGCTAACTTATTATGCTGCTATTTTTCAATTTCACTGATTCAAAATAGATTATAAATAGTAATATTGGTAGTATTAACTTGCCTTTAAAGCAAGTAAATAATGAGATGGAGAATTTTTTATAAAAAAATTAGAGTAATTTATAAAATGAACAAAAAATATCAAATTCCGAAAGTGCTATTAAAAATAAATGAAAACCAAAGATTTATTGATTTTTCTAATCTAAATTACCTGTTATATTTAAAAGATAATATTTTCATTTCAACCATCTAATTTAAAGTAACAATAATATATGCGGGGTTTTGGGGTTTTGGGGTTTTGGGG